CAGAGGGAAAATCATGGGAGAGCGCAGGGACAGAGATGTGTTGTCAAGGCAACAGCAACTGCAGGATTGGGAGAGGGAAAGGGGGGGAACAGGGGTACCTGGGGGTCCAGTGATGGACACAGGGTCACAAGAATCCAAGGGTGAGGACAGGGAGAGAAACACCATCCCCTGCCCCTCTGGCCACCAGAAGAGCTGCCAGCCCTGCTCCCAGAGAGGGAGGATGGCTCAGGGTCCCACAGCATCCCCAGAGCATCCCCAGAGCATCCTCAGGGCATCCCTACACCCTGAACCCCACACCCTGAACCCCACACCTTGTTCCCTCCTTCCCTCGGGTGTCGAGGGCCCCAGAGTAGCCCTGGCAGGGCAGCAGCCCTTGGCAGCACGGCCAGCCCTGCTCCCTGCTGAGCCCCTGCTCCCCACGCACCCATCCCTGCAGCAATCCCTGCCAGGCCCTGACAGCTCCCTAAAGCTGCTGCACTATTTTTACCCCACGGTTGCTATAGAGACATCAGAGCCGCTCCCTGTGATGATGCAGCTGCTTTTGGGTGATGCAGTCTCTTCCAGAAGCACTGCATCACCCACTGCATCACCCACTGCATCACCCACTGCATCATCCACTGCATCACCATCAACTGCATCACCCACTGCATCACCCACTGCATCATCCACTGCATCACCCACTGCATCACCATCAACTGCATCACCCACTGCATCACCCACTGCAGCATCACCCACTGCATCACCCACTGCATCATCACCCACTGCATCACCCACTTCAGGTCCCCTGGACACTGCTCTGGTCCCAGAGATCTGTGCCAGCCCCCGTGCCCTCGGCAGTGCCACAGATGTGGGGTCACACAGACACCTCCATCCATCCATCTCTCCTGGTGCCCTGAGCTGCTGCTTCCCCGGCCTGGTCGAGGTGCTTCTGTGCTGTGCAACATCTCACCTTAGCCAGCTCAACCACCAGGCCACAGCCAGGGAGCAGAGGGGACAAAGACCAGCAGAATGTGGCACTGCATGGCCACAGGAGGTGGCAGAGCTGGCACTGACATTATGGATTTTAGCAGATTAATCTCCAGCACACCTATTTTCCAGCAGGAGAAATCAGGGTCCCAATTAAAGCAGGTACAAACCTGAGCCAGGCTCCAGCTCTGCTCAGATCTGAAAGGGGAAAACAAGGAGCTGAGGGCATGGCTGGAGCCTCTCCTCCATGAAACACCAGCAGGGACATGGCTGGGGCTGGGACCCCCTGTGCCCAGGGCAGCCCCACGGTGTCCCACAGGTCCGGAGTGTCCCAGAGAGCAGCAGCAGCAGCAGCAGAGCCAGCAGACGACCCTCAGAACGCTGAGCCGCCCCGAATGCTGAGCTCCCCCAGAATGCTGAGCTCTCCCCAGAATTCTGAGCCCTCCCAGAACGCTGAGCCCCCAGGGAGGGAGCGTGGCTATAAAGGGTGGAGTGGCGGCCGTGCAGGGATGAGCTGGCAGGAATAACTCACACAGCCCTCGGCAAAGCGCCCAAAATAGAACCTGGCGGTCCCGGGTGCCCCCGGGGAGATGGGGCTGGCTCAGCCCTTGGGAGGCTGCACTGGCACCCCCTGTGCCTGAGCCGGGAGCCCAAAGGTGCAGGAGATGGGACTTTGGGACAAGAGCCTTCCCCAGTAGACAGACGCAGCTCTGCGCAGCCAGGAGAGAGGAGAACATGGAGCCAAGAGCCCCTCACCATCCTGACCCTGCTCCCACACTCTCAGCCCCTCAAGGCATGGCTGCAGCCCCTGGAATGCCCTGGGAACCAGAGCTGCACCCCACAGAGAGCAGACAGCCCCATCACAGTCCCAGAGAGCAGCTCCCCCTTCTCCAGGCTGGCCCAGACTCTAACCACAACCTCAGCAGGCTCTAACACAGAGGTGACAGCTCCCTGCCTGCTCAGCCAGGTGCTGGGATGGCCCCACAAAGCTGCAAGCATCTCTGCTGTTCTCTTCAGTGACACAATTCTGTCACCTCTGTCCCCTCTGTCCCGCCAGGAGAAAGGAGCCCCTGCCCAGGTGAGGATTTGAGGTACCAGTACCAGCCATGCCACAGGGGACCAGTATAACCAGCAGCCACTGCCCAGCCCTCCACACCCTGCGAGGGCTGTTCCAAGTGGGCACAGCACGCTGTGGTGACACCCAGCCACCTCAAAGCCACCCCATCCCAGTTTTGTCCCAACTGACCATGTCTGGAGCCCATCCTGCTGCCCCCACGGCTGCACAGGCACTGCTGAGATCAAACCCATGGCTCAGAGCCCTGCTCAGAGCTGCAGCTTCTCCACAGCCATCCCTGCGGCCCCGTTGCCATGGCATCTCAGGGATGGCAGAGACACTGGTGAGGAAGACAAGGAGGATGAAGATAGGTGGACACATTAGCTCTGCAAAGCCAGGGCACGGCTGGAGCACATTTGGGGCCCTCTGGCAGCAGGCAGGAGCCATTCCTGCTCCCCTCCACAGAGATTCCAGCTCCCAGGACTGGCACAATGGAACTGGCATCACTGTGCTCCCCTCCCTGCTGGGGCATCTCCCACCCCATGGACACTGGCAGCTGGTGAGCCCAGGCTGGTGGAGCAGGAAAGGGAACTCTTGGCTTTGAACATCTTCAAGGATGGGTCATTCCTGCTTTCCAGCCCGGGGTCCAGCACAGGTCACAGCTCACAGGAGCAGCAAGGGGACAGAGGAGGAAGAGGGGGTGCCAGCTCCCCAACCCTGACTTCCAACCTTCTCCTAATTGCAATCATCAGGACATTCCCTCTTTCCCCACAGCCACCTCCTCCCTCCTTGCTGCCATCACTGACCATGCTGGGGTGCCCTGGGAGCAGAGCAGACCCCCCTCAATGGGGGGAGGGGGTGGCTTCCTCTGGTGCTGCAGCAGCACCTCCATTGCTGGGCAGCCTGGGCTCCTCCTGCCCTGCCACCACAGCTCGTCTCTTCTAAATCTGTGGCTTTCAGGAGTTTATTTTTAAGATGTTTATTTCGTTAAGGTGTTTATATTATCTTGCTTTTAGGAGTTCGTGTTTATTTTTGACAAGTACACTGGTGTGCTCATGCATCAGAAAATGGACAGATAAATATATTTTGGGGGGGATTATGGCCAGTTTAGGCAGGTACTGCAGAGTGTCTGTGTTACCAAGTCAGGAGGAACCTGCCATAAGGTTTGCAAAATGCTCCCTAAAATAATAAGACTGGCTTAATTTCTCTGCTGGCTCTGATTCTCATTGTCATCATCATCTCTGAATGAAGAGCGCTGCGATATTAGATTATATTTTATTAACCACAAGAGAAATTTCCCCAAGTGTTAATGTGATACAGAGGGTGTGATGACAAACACGCTCACAGCTGTGATGGTCTGCAGAAGTGCTGAACCATGGGGGTTGGGGTGGTGTTCAGGAGCATCTGTGACCATTTCCCCTTTCCTCCGAATTCCCTCTTTCTGCTGGGACTGCTCTGAAAGAGACGCCGAGGAAAGTGGAGGAAGCTGCTGGTTCCTGCCCAGATGTGACATTTGGGGACAAAGGAGGGCCAGAGAAGCAGCGCGCTGCTGCTGTTCCCAGTACACCGCCCTGGCACTGCGGGGCACAGGGACCCCAGCTCCTCCTGCACGCCACAGAGCGCTCCCGTGCCCAGCTGTGCCCTCGGGCTCTGCCAGATGTGCGCTCAACACGGAGTCATTAACATCAGAGGGGGGTCGGGGGGGCAATCTCCCCTGGTCCAAATGGGGACAGATGTGGGCTCAGACCGGTTCGGGGTCTGGAGAGCCCCAGGAGCAGGGACACAGACCCTGCAGCCCCCCAAAACATTCACAAAGACCCAGCAGCCCCCCAAAACACGGACACAGACTCTACAGCCCCCAAAACACACACACAGACGCTGTAGCCCCCCAAAACACGGACAGCGACAGGCACGCAGCCCCCCAGCACACGGACACGCTCCCCCGCACACGGACACGTACGCAGACCCTGCAGCCCCCCCGCACACAGACCCCAGCTCACGGACACCCCCGCCCGCCGCTCCCCGCACCCACCTGCGGGCGGACGCGCCGCCCCCCCGCGCCCTCCTCCTCGCGCAGCGCCGGGCACCGGCAACCGAGCCCCGGCACCGGCACCGGCACCGGCACAGGGCACGGGGCAGCGGCACCAACATCGGATCCCGACACGGGCACGGGGCCGGGCAGGTACCGGGCCGGGCAGCGGCCGCACCCCGCCGTCAGCACCGCAGCCGGGGGCGGCGGCGGCAGCGGGAGCGGGATGGCCGCGGCTTGGAGGGGTGGAGGGGACACCGGTCCCGCCGGCGGTGGGGGAGAACCGGGCGTCGGTTCTGCCCCGGTCGGTTCTCCCGGGTCCGAGGGGTCCCCGCGGGAAGGGGCCGGGGGGAGCTCGGGTGCAGGGAGCGGCACCGTGAGCGCCTTTGGGAGGGGCTGGGGGCAATGAGGGCACCGACCGCTGGTCCAGGGGCCGCGGGATCCCCGGGCAGGGCACGGAGGGGTGGGGAAGGGCCGGGAGGGTTGTGCCTTCTCCAGGGGCACTCAGGGGGTACTGGCTGCTCCAGGAACACTCTGAGGAGTGAGGCAGGGAGCGAGGGCAGCAGGAGTGGGTGGCAGTGGGGGGCAGTAGAAGCAGGGGTCAGTAGAAACACAAGAGACACCACGACTGTGGCTGTTTCTCCTTCCCTCCGGCAGTGAGGAAGCAGAGATCCCGGCTCCAGCCCAGGAAGCCATCAGGGAAGTTCACACAGTCTCCAGTGGGCTTCGCGTTGTGGCTCCCCAGACCATCGGAAGCTCTCTGATCCCCTGGGGAGACCAAAGCATCGGGCAGTGCCTGCACAAGGTGGGTGGCCATGGCCAGAGGGACAGCGGGATGAGGGGCAGTGCCCAGAGCATCCCAGGAAGGCAGGGACAAAGCAGGGGGGCTCAGCTCTTCTCCATGGTTCCCCCCACAGCCGCCACTGCCATCACCCGGGGGAAGCAGCAGCCATGGATGAAGTGACGGAGCTGGAGCTGGGGGGCAACTCCCTGCTGAAGGCCGTGTGGCTCGGGCGGCTGCGGCTGACCCGGCTGCTGCTTGAAGGGGGCGCTTACATCAACGAGAGCAACGACAAGGGCGAGACGGCGCTGATGGTGGCCTGCATCACCACGCACGTGGACCAGCAGAGCATCCACAAGGCCAAGATGGTGAAGTACCTACTGGACAACAGAGCCGACCCCAACATCCAGGACAAGTCTGGGAAAACCGCGCTCATGCACGCCTGTATCCGAGGGGCTGGGGGCGAGGTGGTGTCCCTGCTGCTGGACAGCGGGGCAGACCCCAGCCTGGAGGACCACTCGGGAGCCTCGGCGCTGGTCCACGCCATCAATGCCGAGGACAAGGCTGTGCTGCAGCGCCTCCTGAATGCCTGCAGAGCCAAGGGGAAGGAGGTGATCATCATCACCATGGACACATCAGCCTCCGGCACCAAGACCGCCAAGCAGTACCTGAACGTTGCCCCTGCTCTGGAGTTCAAGGAGAGGGCTCCCCCGGAGGAGGGCACAGCCCCCTCCAGTGCTCACCCGAAAACTCCCACCTCAGCACCTTCCCCTACCGAGAAGGAGAGCAGCATTGTCACCCCACACCCTTCACACACCGGGGACACCGAGCCACCGTCCCCGGGCCGGAGAGCTGGCACTGCCCGCAGAGCCCAGCTGCCCCGGCTGAAGCGGCTGCGGTCAGAGCCGTGGGGTCTGGTGGCACCCTCGGTGCTGGCGGCCTCGAGTCACCGCGACGACACTCGTGTCTGCGCTGACAGTGAGCTCATCACGGGCATCGGCGACCTCTCCCTTTCCAAAAAACCCTCCCTCACCCGCAGCAGCAGCAGCAAGGGAAGGGACCCCGCTCTCTTTCCCCCGGTGGATGAGCAGGCGCCGGGGCCACTGGCATGGAAAGCCACGCACGAGAAGAGCCCAGGCACCCACCCGTGCCTGTCCCGAAGCGTCACGGTCCCGGAGGAGCCAGAGAGCACCAGCTCGGCCGCAGGGATGGACACTCCGCACTGGTGGAGGCCAGGAACTGAGCACAGCGGAGACTCGCAGGCCACCGAGGCGGGCAAGGGGCCCTCAGAGAGGAGGAAGATGAGCGGGTCCCACCTGGCCCTGCTGGATGGCTCCTGTGGCTCTCCCTCGGGCAGCACCAGCACATCGCCCAGCACCGCCCGGCGCCGGCCCCCCGGCTTGCTGGAGAGGCGAGGATCCGGGACCCTGCTGCTGGACCACATCTCCCACACAAGGCCGGGATATCTGCCCCCCTTGAACGTGAATCCCAACCCCCCGATTCCCGACATTGGCTCCAGCAAAGCCCCCTCCCCCCTGGCTGCTGGGCTGAAGCCGCTGGTGCCCCTCACGCCCAGCTCGCCCAGGCGGGGTGATCTGAGAGCTCACAGGAAGCTCCTCCGCAGACATTCCATGCAGGCAGAGCAGATGCGGCACCTCTCCGACTTTGAGGAGGTCGTGGCGCAGTAGCCGTGTGACCATTTGCTCACAGGGAGGTGGCCAAAGCCGCGCTGTCCCTGCAGGAACGGGACGGTTCCCACAGAGTGGGCGCTGGCTCCGGGGACACGCTGGTGGCCGGGGGCTTCAGTCCTGAGCCCAAGGGCTGAATCGGGAGCGGGCTGGTTGGGAGATCGATCCCCCACCGCCCTCGATCGCCAAGCTCCGTGCCAAGGATCCCACATAGTTCACTTATTCCTCACTAGTCCGCTTTTCTTACATCCTGCTCGTTCTCTCACCGAATCCCCCCCGGAGCCCCCGGTGGTGATCTGTGGGGCCGAGGCGTTCATGAGGAGCCTTCCAGGAGGGGAAGGGGCTCACTTCTGCGGAGGCTGAGGAGCGGGAGCGCCCGTCCGGGCACGGAGCGCGTCGGTCTCCGGGAGAGGGAGACAATTCTCCACCGCCGAGACTGCCGAGCGCTCCCGAGCCCCGGCGGCTGAGCTCACCCGGCACCGCTGCAGCCTCGGCGGCTGTGGGCAGGGAAGGGCTTGTCTCGTCTCTGAAGCGTCTGAACATCAGGGGGTTCATTCCCCACCTCGTAGAGGAGCTCTGAATTCAGGAAACGCTGAATCCCCGAGCGGGGCGGCCCCAACCCGGCTGCTCTGCCAGCGGCGGGGAGCCCGGGATGCCAAGGCACCGAGGGTGACCCGGGCTGACCCCAGGGTTTCATCCCAACCGGAAAGCCGCAGCCGAGACCCCTCTGTGCTCCTACCCCGGGCAGGGAGCCCCCAGCCCCCCGCCTCCCCCCACGGCCGGCCGGCCGTGTGCCGTGACAGATTCCATCACTCCGTGAATGCGTTCATTTGTGAAACTGCGTGTGCGCAGGGTGCAGGGACAGGTGTTGGGGTTGCCGTGGCCCTGTGGAGACTTTTGCACTGATTTTGCACTGCATTAATAAAGCGCTCAGCTTTGGATGGAGGCTGATCTGGCGTGGACCCGACATCAGCCCGGCCAGAGGGTCCCGGGGGGCTCCGAGGGGATCCCCGGGGCTGCCGGAGTGCTGCACCCGGAGATGCCGGGGGTCTCTCAGAGTGCCGGGGTCGGTGGAAGGTTCCCGGGATCCCCGCCCCGGGGCCGGAGGTGCCGCCCCCGCCCGCCCCGCCCCGCTCGCAGCGGAAGCGCCACGTCAGGGGGGCGGTGCGGGGCCGTGCGGGGCCGGGGCCGTGCCGGGCTCGGAGCGGATCGCGGTGCCGGGCTCGGAGCGGATCGCGGTGCCGGTTTCGGTGCGGATCGCGGTGCCGGGCTCGGCGCGGGTCGCGGTGCCGGTTTCGGTGCGGATCGCGGTGCCGGGCTCGGAGCGGATCGCGGTGCCGGTTTCGGTGCGGATCGCGGTGCCGGGCTCGGCGCGGGTCGCGATGCCGGGCTCGGTGCGGATGCTGATGCTGTACCTGCCCCTGCTGCTGGGCTCGCTGGGGGCCGGCGGCACGGAGCTGACCCTGGAGCTGCCCGACAGCGCCCAGCGCTGCTTCCACCAGGAGCTGGAGAGCGGCATCAAGTTCAGCCTCGACTATCAGGTACTGCCCTGCCTGTACCTGCCTGCAGCCCTGCACGCTCCGTGCCTGCACCCCCTGCCCGTACCCCTGCCAGGGCCCCCTCCCTGGGCACCCGATTTGTGCCTCATCCCTGTGCCCCTGCCCACGTCTTGTCCGTGCCCCGGTGCCTGTGGCCCCTTGCCCACACCCCTGCCCGTGTGTGTGCTGTTGTCTCTGCCCACACTCCCATCCTGTGCCCTGCAGAGCCCCAGGCAGGCAGGGCTGCAGTTCCCTCCTCCCGTGCATACCCCAGCTCCCTCCATGCTGCACTAGGAGCTGTTCCCATCCCCAGCCCCATGCCCAGCAGTGGCCACCTGAGAGCCAGGTCTGGGATGTGCCTACATCAGCCATGGATGCCCCTGACCTGGGTCATGAGGGCAGTCCCTGTCTCCAGGCACCTCACGTGAGCCATGGGCACCCACCTGAGCTGCTGGCACTGTGGTGCACCGCTTCCCCTGGGCTCCCCTGGTCTGGGCCCCATCCCATGGGCATGGTGCCCGCTGGCCTTTCACAAAGCTGTGGGGCTGGGCAGGGTCAGGGAGCCCTTGCCACGTTGCTTGGCGTGTGCCATGTGAGACACATGTCCCCGCACAGGTGATCAGCGGAGGACACTATGATGTGGACTGCTACGTGGAGGACCCCAACGGCAAGACCATCTACCAGGAGACCAAGAAGCAGTACGACAGCTTCTCACACCACACCGACCTCAAGGGTGTCTACACCTTCTGCTTCAGCAACGAGTTCTCCACCTTCTCCCACAAAATTGTCTACTTCGACTTCCAGGTGGGCGACGAGCCGCCCATCCTGCCCGACATGAACAACCGAGTCACTGCCCTGACACAGGTGGGTGCCAAGAGGGAGGGAGGGAGGGAGGAAAGGAGGAAGGAAGGGTCCTGCCCAGCCCCCAAGCAGCTTTGCGGGATGGCAGTTGGGGACTTGTCCCCCTCCTCCTTGGCTGGATGCAGAAGTGCCAACCGCCAGCCAACAGCCCCAGCACACGCCACACCCTCTGCCCGGGCCGGGGGGGCTGTGCTGGCTCTGGGCTCCCCTGTCTGCCACAGCCCGTGTCCAACCCACGTGAGGGAATTGCATCAGCCCTTCCATCCTTGGTGTGAGCCTCTGGGCTCGGCATCCAGGTGCCCTGGGGGCCTCCCAGCCCTGTCCCAGTGAGGAACCACCTTGGATGGGTTCTGGCAGGGAGCCTACAGCGCAGACACTGCTCTGAGTGTCCTGCCACGGCCCTGGGGTCCCTCAGCTGTGCCATGGCAGAAGTGACAGGGCGCTCTTGTCCTTGTCCCCAGCTGGAATCCGCCTGTGTCACCATCCACGAGATGCTGAACGCGGTGATCGACTCCCAGACCCACTACCGGCTGCGAGAGGCGCAGGACCGGAGCCGGGCTGAGGAGCTCAATGGACGCGTCTCCTACTGGTCAGTGGGGGAAACCCTCATCCTCTTCGTGGTCAGCATCGGGCAGGTGATTCTGCTCAAGAGCTTCTTCACTGAGAAGAGACCCAGCAGCAGCGGAGCTGGCACCTAGAGCTGCTGTGTGTGCCTGAGGGGAGCGGGGAAGGGGCGGCCCTGGGGTCGCATTTTGCCTCCGCGGCAAAGGGGGGTGGGAGCAGGGGGTGACGTGACCCTGCCGAGCTGGGTGACACAGCCACCCCAGTACAGGTGTCCCCCGGTGTCACCTCCCACTTGCCATGGCCCAGCCTGCCCTGTCCCCTCGCCTGGCCACCCTGTCCCCGTTCTCTGGCTCCGCGGGGAAGCGGTGGGGATCAGCGGCAGCATTAACACTGGGGCACCTCGTGACTGCGACGTGACTGCCGTGACCACACCCTGCCCCTCGGAGCCCTGTGCAGCCAACGAGGGGATGGGGCAGCACTGGCCCACCTGGGGCTGCACTGGCCCACCTGGCACCTACCCAGTGCCATCAGCCCCTGACCTGGGGGTCTCTGTCTGCTCCTCAGCTGTCCTGTGACGGGCAGGGTGCTCCCAGCAGCAGGGCCACATCAACAGCAGCATCCAACAAGGGAAAGCTTTTTGCTGCATGGTCCTTTGGCTCTACCGGCCCCTCCTCTCGCAGCATTTCTCAGGCTGGCAGCAGGTGGTGTGTCCCTATCCGGTGGTATTTTCATACACCAGTCCGTGCCTGAGACTCAGCCCCTCACACATTCCCCCCACCCTGTGCCAAGGCAGCCCCATCTCCGCCCCAGAAGCACAGGGGACTCACCACACGCACCTGGGACTGCAGCCCCTCATCCCCTGGAGCCCCACAAAATGGAGACCCCACAAGACACCCCTGTGCAAGACCCCTGGGGTGGCTGATGTGCTGGCCCTCGAGCAGGTGTGAGATCATTTTTCAGAGCTGAAGCAACTCCACTCGACTTTGCCACTTTCAAATAAATCCCTGCAAGCATGGCTGGCACTGCCATTATTGGGCACAGCTTCTTCCTGCCCTGCCCGCTCCAGCTGAGCTTGCTCCTGGCACAGGACAGACTCTGGAGCCAGAGACCCCTCAGCAGGAGCAACACCTGCACTGTCAGTGGGTTGTGATGGGAGCTAAGGGAGCCCAGCATCCCCCACAGCACAGTGGGGACCCCCGGGCAGAGCCCAGCTCTGTGCTGCCTTCCCTGAGGCTGGTGGGATGCCAGGGCAGTTCTGCTGGGCTGTGCCTCTCTCTGGCAATACCCCTGGTGCTGGGGGGAGCCCAGTCCCAGCAGAGACACAGAGCCCTCGCCCACTCTCTGTGCCCCAGCAGCCGTGCTGACTCCGCCGTCAGCGCTGGCCTTGGGGCGGCTGCTGCAGGCGGGAGGAGTGGCCCTGTGTGCTCCCGGCAGCCTTGGGCAGGAGTCAGCAGCTCCTGTTTGGAGCAGAGCCGACAGCAGCAGCACCCCGGGACTGCCACCAGCCCGGCGCTGGCTGCCAGGGACCAGCCCTGCTCCCACTGGGACACAGAGCCCTGTGGGGATGGGCAGGGAGGGAGGCATCCAGCCCTGGCCAGGCTGAGGATGGCCTTGAATGCCCCTTGCTGGGGACTCTTGAGCCACCCTTGGTGGGGACAGGGGCAGCAGTGACCCCAGTGCGTCAGGGGCTCTGGAGACGCCAGCTCAGCTCCCAGCTGGGGGACACGGGGGGGACAAGAAGTGGCCATAGGACACTTTATTGCTGTTCAGGGCACAGAGAAGGGAGAGGGGACGGGGCACCCCCAGCAGCCCCAGGCTCTTCAGGGAGCAGGGAGAGGTCAGCAGTGACTCCACGCCCACTGGACCTGTGCTGACCCGGCCATCCCGCTGCCAGACCCCTGCCCTGAGCACCCCAGCGGTCTCACAGGGAGCTGCTGTGGCAGGAGGTGTCCCTGGCAGCCCCTCGGGACCTCGGCAGCCCCTGGACGCCCCGCCTGGCCGGCAGGGAGGAGGCTGAGCAGCGGAAGGAGCCGGTGGCCGGGGAGGGGGGCTGGGCCAGGGGGCCGTGCCTGCATGGGCAACCCCAGCCCCCGCGCAGGGGGATGGTGAAGAGCCCGTAGGTGATGGGGTCCAGGCAGGCGTTGAAGAGGCCGAAGATGAAGAGGATGTGGGTGAGGGCCGGCGAGATCCTCTCCTCCATGGCGCGGGGGCAGAACCAGTGCCAGAGCCCCAGCAGGTAGTAGGGGGTCCAGCAGAGGATGAAGGAGGAGACGATGACCAGGCTCATCCGCAGCATCCGCAGCCGGGCCCGGGGGATGTTGTTCCTGGAGCACCGCAGCGACGCGTCCTGCGAGGAGACTGGAGGGGCACAGCCCGTGAGGGGAAATGGGGCTGGCACAGGGACCCCTGGGGGAAAGCTGGGGGAGGCTTCCCCTGGGCAAGGGGCCGTGTCCCGCGGTGCCTGGCACTCACAGAGGCCGGAGCCCATGCGGCGGGAGATCTCCAGCAGGATGCGGGCGTAGCAGCAGACCATGATGAGCAGGGGCAGCAGGAAGAGGCAGGCAAAGCCCACCATGTTGTAGAGGGTCTCATGCCAGGGCCGGGGGAAGCTGCCCCGCGTGGTGCACTGCGTGAAGTTGTGCGGGGGGCGCAGGGTGATGGTGTGGAACAGGAACAGCTGGAGATGACAGGTGGGAGGGGGCTGATGGGGTTTGTGCCTCCTGAGCCAGGGAGGGCACTGGAACCCAAAGCAGGGACCCCTCAGACCCGCAGGGACAGACCCAGCCTGTGGAGTCGGGACCAGTTCTCAGCCCTGCGCTGGATCTGCTCCACACTGACAGGGACAGTGGGCAGAGCTGGGTGAGGGGGCTCCCTGCCACTGCCACTCAGTTGCCAGCTCTCCATGCCCACCCCGCAGGTCACCAGCCCTGGCAGTGTCCCCAGGCCCCGGGCTGGCTGGGGCTGTGTCACAGGGCCAGGAGGAGCACAGGTGGGTACCTGTGGCACGGCCAGCCCCGCACTGAGGATCCAGGCGGCGTGCAGCATGGCGCGGTTGCGGGCGCGGGCGCGGGCGATGGCCAGCGGGCGCAGGATGGCGGCCTGGCGGTCCAGGCTGATGACCACGGTGACGAAGGCCGAGGCGTACATGGCCAGCAGGCGCAGGTACATGAGCAGGCGGCAGACCAGGTCGCCCGCCCGCCACTGCAGCGTGATGTTCCAGACGGCGTCCAGCGGCATCACCACCACGCTGACCAGCAGGTCGGCGGCGGCCAGGTGCCGCAGCAGCAGGCGGATGTGGGGGCGCCGGCCGCTGCCCCGGCCCCCCACTGCCCGCAGCACGGCCAGGTTGCAGCCGGCCGAGAGCGCGAAAAGGGCGAAGGTGACGGCCACGCGCACCTGGGCGGCCGGGGAGAAGGTGGGCAGGCGCAGGGGCTCCTCGCCCCTCTCTTCGGGGGGGCTCCAGGCACAGCCCCACTCGCGGGGGGTGATGCTGGGGGGCTCCACGCTGGTGTTTCCCACGGCGGGGTCTGTAGGATGGCCCCTACCTGCCGCAGCAGGCAAAGGGGCAGTGGCAGCCCTGAGCTGGGGGCTCTGGGAGGAGCAGGCGCTGGGGGGCCGGTCCCCTAGAGCCCCCTGCCCAGGGCCACAGTGCCGGCATCATACTTTTGAGGTCGCATCCCTGTGTGCAGCTACCCCAGAGCCTCCAGCAGCCCCCAGAGCCCCCCCATGTCCCCAGAGCTGTGGGGGTCCCTGGCACCCAGCAGGGCAGAGGAAGGCAATGGCAGCTGACCCCAACACACCACCCTCCTCAGGCCATTGCTGCTGTGCCCCTCTCCCTGCCCAGAGCACCCCTCATGACCCCGCCCAGCCCAACAATCACACCCTGAGGACCAGACACCCCCTTCCCCAACCTCACCTGCATCCAGGGTGTCCTGCCTGGCATTCCCCAGCCCGGCCATGGCAGGGCCGATGCTCACACAGTGCCGAGGCTCTGTGCTGAGGGCTCCTGCATCTGCTCCGGGGCACGAGAGGGAGCGGGGCAGGTACTGGGACAGGTACTGCAGAGAGCCAGCACCTGCAGCTGCTGTGGCGTGGGCGCCCTTGGCAGCTCTGAATGGTCCTTGACGTAGCCAGCAGCTTGGAACAGCACGGTCCTTCCCCTGCCACCCACGGCACACGGACACACGTAAGCGTGTGCGGTGCTCACACAGTGGGATGTGCCCCACATCTGTGGGAAGGAGCCCCCCAGCCCAGGGGGTGCTGCCAGTGCCCCCCAGGTCTGGCACTGCTGTTGCCAGGGCTGGGTATCAGAGCACACAAGGGCTAGCTGCATTGAGGTGCAGCATTTGGGGGGCCCAGAGACCCACAGGTCCTTCCTCCTAGCCCTGTGACTGCCAGCTGCTCCCCCAGACTGTGATCACCCCCATGGCAGTGTCCCCATGGCTGGAGCATGGGCCCAGGTCCCTTCAGCCCTGGCTGGAGAGCTGCAGCCTAGGAGAGGACAGGGTAGGGGGCTGCTTTACACCTCAAAGGCTTGTCTCCCGTTCTGTCACCCCCTCCTCTGCCCCAGAGAGGATATTAACCTCATTAGAGAGTCCTTTCACACTCCATGGGGTTCATTAACCCCCCGCCCTTCACCCCAGACCCCAGAGCTGGGAGGATACTCTCCTGGCACATTAGCACATGGCTGCCAGGTCCCAACACCCTCCTGCTAATGGGGACCCCAGACTTCAGGGAGCCACCAAGGGGGCTGGGGACATAGGGTCCCCATCACAGGCTCCCACACTCTGCACCTGGCAGGGTTTCCAGCCCATGGGCTCAGCCCCATCCCCACACCGAGCTGGACCCCAAATCTACCCATTTCACTGTGCACTGGGAGCTCCCACAGGCCCAGAACTGCCAGGCAGGGAAGCTGGATCTGGAGGGTGCTGGGGATCCTCAGCCCTTCCTGGTGGGGTCAGGCCCCAGGGCAAGGGCAGTGTCTCTCTTGATACTCCCCACGTTTCTCCCAGCTGGTGCCTGGCTGCCCCATAGCCCCCAGCCCTGCAGCCCAGGGAGGAGACCCCCGGCACACCAAACCCCATCCCGTGCCCAGCTCCTGGCAGCAGCCACACAGACACTCAGAGAGGGGACAAGGGTTTATTCACATCCAGCCGCCGCCCGGCGCGTCCAGCACGGCTCCAGGCTCCTGCGGGGCAGCTCGTTCCTGCAGCCATCCCGAGGGCTGCGTGTCCCGGGCTGCAGGGACACAGACTGGCATCGTGGGGCTGTGGGTGCTCCGGGCCCGGGGACTCATCTGGGCTGTGGTGGGCACAGAGCCTCCAGCAGCGAGAGCAGGTCCGCAGAGAGATCCTGAGGAGCAGACAGGGACAGGGTGAGCGGACAGGGACAGGGTGAGCATCCAGACAGAGGTGCGGGTGGGGCTGGGGTGGTGGCAGTGACAGCCCACCCTCTGGAAGTGCTCCTGGGCAGGGACAAACAGGACAATGGATCCCATTCTGTCCCCACTAATGGGATCCCCACAAACACGAGGGAGGGAAGCATCAGGAAAGATGGGGCAGGCTGGGGGATCCACCTCACCAGCTGCAGGGAGCAGGGCTCACCCCTCCATTCCCGACCCCAGACAAGGCTGTTGTTACCCCAAAACCGGTTCCTGCACTTCCCCACACCAAGAGGACTCTGAGGCTGCCCCAAAGGTGTTGATCCCTGCCCCATGCCAGCCCCATGCTGAGAGTGACCCCAATCCCCACCAGCACGTACCTGGGTGACTGTCCCTGTGCCCACGAACTCTGACAGCACCAGTCCCGTGTCCAGGGCATCACCAGGGAGATCCGGGGGGGCCGCAGCCCCTGCAGAGTGGGGAGGGGTCAGCCAGGGGGACGCAGTGGAGGTGACAGCCTTGTTCAGATCTGGGGGGGTCCCCATTGAGGGCATGTAGGGGAGTGACCCCCAGGTCTCCGTCTGGATGTTGGAAACCCCAAGCAGCTCTGGAGGGGTCCCGGTTGCAGGGATGTAGGAGGGGGACCCC